TCTGTGCATTTAGCACGTTATTCTCTGCAATAAATGGGACAATATTATGGGGACTCACTTGATTTTTATTTGGAGAAGTAAACAGGACTGGGAGACTAGATGGCGCAGGAGCCTGATAATGGCCTACAAAGACTTTCCTCAGTCTCAGTTGCCAGGTCAAATCCACCCGAGATGGTGTGGGTGGGGTTATTACTATTAAAAAGTGGGGTTTATGACAGCACAAACAATGTGGTAGGTTCCTTATGGAAGGTACTGGTAAAGGCAACATGGACTGGAGTCAAGAGACTTGGCTCTTCCAGTGACCTGCTGGGTGACCTCAGGCAAATCATTTCACTTCTCGGTGACTGTTTTGCCTCCTGGCCTTTGTCTATTTAGATTGTGAGCTCTTTGAATGAGGAAGTCTATCTCAGTACCGGTATGGCTACCCTGCAATCAGGACAGCGCATGTAGGCATACCCAAGGTAGCTCACTAAAAACTGCAGTGTAGCTGCTGTGGCATAGGCAGCAGCATGGGCTAGCCACCAGCATGTGTACCTAGGTTCCTGGGCAGGATTGTACTCAGGTAGCTAGCCCGGGCTGCCAGGGCTACACTGTAATGTTTTTAACAAGCTGGTTTGATCAAAGCTAGCTTGGGTATACCTACGCGTATTGCAGTTGCGCCTCCCAATGCGTCTCAGTGTATGTACAGTGCCTAGCACAATGGGGCCCTGATTTTGGTTGGGGCACTACCATAATAATAATCTTGATAATTAATAAATGGTAACTGCTATTAAGCTAAGGTCCATGCCCCAAAGGTGTTACAAGCTAATTCCTGATCTTGCAAAGACTGCTAGGGGAATGTTTATTACCATTCCTTCATTTCCGTTTATATAACACTCCTCCACAGTGCTAGATGCTCGGCATTTTAAAATTCCATCTCACGCAACCATTGCAGGATTGCTGGGCAGCCATTTTGGCTTGTGTTAGATACCGCTGTGTCTATAGATATGAGCGAGATGATGACGACAGGTCAGGGAAAGTACTGGGAGGGACTTGTGGTTTGCGTTCCCCCTCGCCCTCCAGTGTTCAGAGGGTGAGGCTGCCAGTTGTGAAGCGGGTTGGAACCTCAAGGTCACCATGGCCCCAGCAATTTCAGACTTCTCTGTCTTTTGCTTCCCAATGCAGATATCACCCCTGTCATTCATATGGCCATCACGTCATTGTCCTTCACTCCTACTTGGGGTTTATACTTGACTTTTGCCTGGAAGCTTCACCAGTTGCAGAGAGCAGCTACCCTTCATAGGAAGGAGACAGTCATCAATCCCCACCCTCAGTGATTTGCACTGGCAACAGTAATGCAGCTCTTTTCATCAGTAGACCTCAAAGCACTTTACAAAAGCAGGTCAGTATTATTATCTCCATTTTATAGTTGGAGAAACTAAGACACCAAGAGGGGAAATGACTTGCTTAAGGTCACACAGCAGGGGTATCCATTAGGCCAGAGTTTCTCAAACTGGGGTCCTCAGAACCCTGGGGGTCCACGAGGGTACTTCAGGGGGTCTGCAGGCTGCTCTGATCAATGCTCCCCCTCCCACCCTCAACTCCTCCCCCTCCCTCCCAGCGCCTCCTGTACAACAGGGAACAGCTGTTCAGCGGTGTGCCGGAGGCGCTGGGAGGGAGCGGAAGGAGCAGGGGTGGAGTGCACTCAGGGGGATGGGCCGGAAAGAGGCGGGGAAGAGGAGGGACAGGGGTGAAGCAAGGGCAGGAAAAGGTGGGGTGTTGGTGGGGCCTTGGGGGAAGGGTGGAGTGGGGGCGGGGTCTGGGGCTGAGTGGGGAGCTTGGGGTCTGTGAAAAATTTAAAATCAAAATGGGGGTCCTCGGGTTGCTAAAATTTGAGAACTGCTGCATTAGGCCACAAATGAATTTAGTTCAAGGCTTTGCTTATAGCCCTCAATGATCAAGTCCTAAGGTACCTGAGCAATTGCCACTCCACAAAGTCCTTAAGGCCATTGCGACTGGTCAAGTTGTCCTGAGGTATGATCTGGGGCAAGGCAGGGACAGTCCCTGCTTGGTTCAGGGATCCTGTCCCGGGCACCCCTTCTGTAGTATGTCTGCCAGAGTCCCCTCCCCCGGCGTCTGCATTCAGGGCTTGGCGCATGGACCTGCTTTTCATGTCAGCTCATCTCTCTCTTCCTTGTTCAGCCCTATGTCCTTTTTTATTCTGTTTCCTTTGTCCGTTTGGTTTGGTTTGGTTTGGCTGGAGCAGTGGGTGGCTGGCTGATTGGGACCAAGTGTGTTTCAATTATACAGTGCTCTAGATGTATAACCAAACAAATAGGTATATATAAATAAATGCAAAGTTGTATAACCAAATAGAGTACTCTCGTCTCCTTCTTGGAGAGAAAAAATTCTCCTCACACTCACAGTCGGTGTCTGGCTGGAGTGGGTTGTCATTGGTAGCATTAGTGGCTTCTGTAAAGTCACTGAGAACAAAATCCCTCCCCAAGAAGCATATTTTGAGCATATTATGTACAGTGGCAACTGAACATATTTATACTGGGGAAGGGTGGAGTCAGCCCCCAGAGCAAACTCGTTCTCGGGAGATCTCTAGCTAAAAAGCTCTCCAGTTCCTCCCCGTGTAGGTTGTAAATCAAACTCCATGACACTGCTTGCATGTGGTATTGCCAACGCTGGAATTCAGGTCAGAAGAATCATACTCCTGGCATCAAGAGATTAATTTCAGGGTAGTGGAGCGCTCAGGGTAGCTTGGCACATAGAGCCTGACAAGTTGTTACTGCTGGTCCCAGTGTATATGGGAGTGATGACTGAACAGAAATCCGGATGTACCTCTTGCCTTGCCTGGCTGCATCATGCTCCTGGGCTGTCCCAGAGTCGCACCGATGTTAGCAGGGAATGTTGTATCGTGCCACAGCTTGGGAGGTGCATTTTGGCCAATGCTCTTGGTATGCCAAGTGTCACCAAAGTCATTGTGGTCTCTAGTTCCTGCAGCGAAGGATAAGGTTGCCCTGTGCAGGTATGAGCCAGCACAGAGACATGCCTCCCCTGGAGACTCCTGAGTCTACATGCCTGCTGCTGCACCCTTTGTGGGTATAGCTTACTGCTTGCCATCCCTGCCAGCAACTCCTCTGGCCAGTGTGTGGGAAGGGTGGAGCCATGTCCCTCAACCTCCTGCCTGTTTCCTTTAGAGCACCGTGGGCACCCTGAAGCAGCAGGGATGGAGCTCTCCCTGCCCTCCCGAAAGCACTGGGCACTGCCATTCTGCCTGACCCTTACACAGGCTGTGCATGGGGAGGAAGACCCTACACCTTCCCCAATGCATAAGGGGCAAGCAGCACCTAGCCATAAATAATCAGTGGATTTTACTGGATCTGGTTAGTTTCACACTGTATTATTGAGAGGATATAAGATCCACAGAGACTATAAGCAAATGACCTGGAGGATGCCAACTCTCCTTCACTGATATGTCCTGCACTAACAAATCATGCTTAAACCTAGTGGATAAGGAGTAAATATTTGTATGCGGGGGTTGAAGAAGTCAAGAGCTTTCCCAATGCTAAGTATTCGGATTGTCTGATTGTTTTCTCATTCTAATTACTCTCAGTCTCACCAAAATCCAGGTGTTTCGCTGAATTTTCCCAGATCTTTATTTCCTTAATGCTTTTGTCTTCTATAGAATTGATGTGCTCCATGGGAGTTCTCCGAATCATATAGGGTCTGATTCTGCCACCCTGACTCAGCATGAGAAAGGATGCTAGAACTGGGTCTGTAGTATTTAATCAGGGCCAAATCTGGCTGGCTCTTAGTTGGGTGAACAGTATCGGGGAGAGCACAAAGAATTCAAGATTTGGATTTTTTCCCCCTTCATTCCAAAACAGGGCGAAAAGTCAAAATCTTGAAAAACATCCACAAACCGATAATCTGAAAAAAAAAATCCATTTGTGTCAATGCAAATGTGTTATTTGGATCATTTTGAAATGTTTCATTTAGATTTTGGCATTTTAAAATCTTTTTAAACTTTTTTTTTAGTCTAAATTGATTAAAATTTCAAAATGAAGTTGTTTTGAGTTGAAAAATGAAACTTTTCCTTTGTAAAATGTCAGAACGGGACATTTTGACAATTTCTAGGCTTTTGGCTTTTTCCAAAATGTTTTTCCAAAATGTTTGAAGGTGACCCCGTGTGGGTTCTCACAAACAGTTTCTGTTTGAACATATCGACATTTTCTGATAAAGAACGTTTTGTTTGAAAATCCTTGACCATCTGTACTCAGCACTACTCCTTCCCATCTTCTGTGCTGCAACTGTACAGTTCAGCCTGCAGGGCGTCACTCAGAAAGGCTATTTAAATGCCCTAGTTTTATTCTTTTTGGCTAATAAGTCCATAAAACAAAAAACACTCTCAGTGGTTCCTGCTTGAAGAAGGGAGGGAATCTGGCAAGCCATCTCTTTTTCCAGCAGGAACACTATGTTCCATCCAACACTTTTATAGCAACAGAAATGCAGGGGCGACAGCGAAGATGAATGTGCTCGTTGAAAACCAGATCTTTTGGTTAAATAAAAAAAAAGAAGCAGCTGTTTTTAAAATGGTGCTGGAATCTATGCTGTTTTGGAGTAACCCCTGCACTGTACATAACACATGGAGCTGCCTGATGTACCGTATCATCCTCCTTAGCTACAATAGTCTGTAAGTGTTTGTTTTCCACTGAATTACAGAGTGTTAGATTCATATATCACAGGGACAGCAAAATATGAACTAAGAGCGAGTCTACAAATATGCACTTTACTAGTTATTTTCCCTATCAGCAAGTTTCGAGACAGGCAACAGGACTCTGGGTGTTATAACAGGTCTGAGTTAAATTACCACATTTCTGTTGTATAAGCTTTGCTTTCAAGATGCTTCAGCCAATCAGAGGCTACAATAAACAATGGGCAAAACAAAGAGTCCATTCAATAACCACTAACTTTCTAAGGAGGAGATGCTGCTGATCTTCCTAACCGTTGTATAAATTCTTCTGTACATAAGCCTGAAGGCACAATTCCTAGAGGCAGAGTAAGACTCCAGCTTGGAAAGTAGCTGAAGCACAGCGGAAAGACGTCCCAAAAATCAGCATTGGGAGGAACACTGTGAGTAATATTTCTACATCTTCTAAACAACATGCATGACCTATAATTGCAGCTAGGAAAATAATGAAAACCTTTATTGTCAACAATGAATCAAAGGGAGGCAGTAGGAAAAAGGTGGCTTGTGAAAATGTCACTAAGGCATAAATTATTTCCCTCCCAGATTTCCACAAGCAAGTACTTATTTCCCCAGTGCTCTCTAATCAAAGGCCTCTTCCAAATATGCTAGTAGAGAGAGCTTGTGCTGGATTTTGATCTCGGTTACACCATTGTAAATCCAGAAATCCGGATGTACCTCTTGCCTTGCACTCCAGTAAAGTCAAGGGAATTACTCCAGATTTATGCTGGTATTATCCAAATCAGAATCTTCATCTTTTATTTAAATGATCTCCCCTATATTTGAAATCTAGGATTTTAATTGAAATAAATAGATAATAAAATGATCCAAAAGAAACTCGTAAGAAAAAAACTCACTTGGATTGAAAAGAGAAAAAGCAAGTTTCCCCTCCCATTCCCGATGGTGCATTTGGGTGTAGTTAAATCCAGGAACAAAGCACAGAACTCTAAAATTATCCATTCATGTGTGACCTGGAATTCACTAGTTTAACCCTTATCAACTCAGAACTGTTCACTTTTTATTTCTATCCAGTATAGAAGGAATTGCTGTGCTGCCATTTATTTGATGCAGAAAACTTGAATTAAAAAAATCATATGCCCAAAGTATGGACGTTTACTTTGATAGATGCCATAACATTTTTCCTGAAATGGAGATATTATTTGAGAAAACCTCAGTTATATTTTCAAATGCCTCTTTACAAAATTGATGTATAAGTTTTAAAATCTATAAAATACCCGGGAGCTGTCAAAGCAGTTTAAATCTTATTTCTAGCCAGTAGATGCAGAGGTAATACCATGATGAAAATAAAAGATTACTTTGTAGGATTAAAGACTCATAGACTCACAGATTTTAAGGTTAGTAGATGAACATTAAAAAGCTACACTGAAGAAAAACAAACACTGTTGTGAAGCCAGAGTAGAAGATTGAAGTAGTGTAAAAACCTAGAAAAAAGCGGGGGAAATGGCAGGTTTGCCTGATCCAGTATAAATGCGATTGTGATGTGAAGAAGACAGATTTGCAGATGTGTGCTAGTTGTTTGGTCCATAAACACACTCACAATACATCCCTGGGCATTTCTAATCTATAATGTCCTTCCTCCATTGCTCCTCTAAGTAAATGGGTCCATGCTGTCAAGGAGGCTGGTGCTCTGACCATACTCGGATGGTCCATTTGAATTTTTTAGTCTGCTGAATGTGCTGCCCTTACTCTGCCTCCTGCTCTGTTTCTCCATTCACTTGGCATCCAGTCCTTCACCCGTGAGTAGTCCCACTGACGTAATGGGAGTACTTGTGCCCATCCTCCCCCTGCCCCGGAATAACAAACTGGGATACGTTACATTTGCCTTCCATACCCATGGAATTGCTGCGAGTTACAGCCACTTACTTTGCCATCTAGAACCATGTATAGCCCATTTTTGGACGATCTTATATCAGGCATGTATGTTACACCACCACCGCAACCGGCTGGGCCACCTTCAACAATCTAAGAATGAGGGGATTAAAGTCTGCTTGGCTTCCTTCTGTTCTGATTTTTCTTTTCTGTCCTACAGATGTTTACACACAACAAATTGAAGATTTTCGTAATGCTTCTGGCACTGGCCACTTACACAGCCATGGTGGTGCTCAATGCTGGAGCTGGATCAGGGGCATTCAAAGGTAACACTAGCAGCTGTTTCTGATTTGACTAGACACCTCTCGCTCCCAAAACACACAACTGCTTGTGTTCTGAAGCACGACCTCCTCCAAGTCAGTAGGTGCATTAGTCAGGCACCTAATGGTAGAGATTCTCATGCTTTGCCTTTTTTACCCTCTGCTGTTTCCCAGTCTTTTCCCCCATCGAGGCACAGTCCATAGTAAGAGATGGGCCTAGAGCTGCCTTTCCCCAGAGCATACTGGGGGGCATTTCCCTGGTGCAAAGAGTCAGCACACTCTAGGCCCCTTGATGGGCTATAGGGTACAACCTCCCATCCCTCCATCCAGCCAACTACACTGGCTGGCGTGTAGGAGGTGGTGACCCTGCCTCCTCCCTGTCCCCCTAGGGATGCCATGAGCTCCCCAGGGGAGTAGGGAGGGAACACCCTCTGATTTCCTCCCACTGCTGGGGCTGCAGTTGCCTGGTTTAGTTTCCGTTGACTTCAGTGGGCTATGGGTCAGGCTCTATGTGAGCGGTGTACAAGGAAAGCCCCCTCTGCCCGTCTCCCAAGTGAGGGCTATACAGCACCAGGCCCCCAGTGACTTGGCAGCAAGAAAGGACGAGCGTCTTCAGTTACTGCTGCCTGTTTATAAAGATCAGTGCCGCCAATTCCCAACTCCAACAGGGTTCGTCAGCTCTGCGTATCGTGGCTCACTCCCCGCTTTGGCTTTCAAGTCTGACTGGCTTTTCTGGTTCTGTTGCGCTGTCATTCTTTTCTCGTTGTATAACCTGCTCGAAGTCACACCTGGTCTTCAGAAGCGAGGATTGTCACATATTCAGTGATTTGCAAAGACAAACCCATTACAACACAGGAATCATTTTGACAAGAGAGTCCTATCAGCTTGCACCGATGTATGCTGATGTAATGAGTAAAGCCTGAGCGAGGGCGTGGAGAACTGTGGGCTCTTCCCATTACTTGTGTGCAGTAACATGTTTTCCTGCAATAACCTTCATTGCTCCAGGTGTATTCCTAAATACTGTTGGAAACATCTCAAACAAGTACAACACTGACTTCACACCAGCTGGCTGGGCCTTCCTCATCTGGAATGTCATCTATGTCTGGCAGTTTGCTTGGCTGGGTTATGCACTGTCAGGAATCTGCAGAAGGTATTTTTTCTCCATATAATTTGAATGCAGGAGTCTCCCTCACACACCACCATAGCTGAGCTGACACTGAGTTGAGGATCCTTGTCAGTCTTTTGCCTTTTGCTTCTGATCCCATGTGAATATTTATTATTTGTATGTGCATGGGATAAGATACAGACAGGACCTGCCCCAAAGTGCTTGCAACCTAGACAAGATGGACACCGGGCAGTCCAGAGGAGGGACTGGCTAGGATTGTTTTTATGTATGTCTCAGTATTAGCCTTGACTTGCTGCTTGTGGGCATGGTGGAAAGAGTGAGACCACAGGTGGGATTTGAATGAAGATGGGGGGGTCCATCTGTGACAATCCCTTGCCCCAACCGTCTCTGTGATACACAGCTATTTAAGTACCACTGCCTTTCCCACTAAGGGGGCAGCAGAATTACCATGATCAGAGATTGGCACCAGTGCACCATATTACTCAAATGGAGTGCTGGGAAATGATGCTGCTTCACCAGAACACACAGGGTCTGATTTTCACGGCGGTTAAATCAGGAGCAAATCCATTGAAATCAATGGCGTTACACTAATGTAGGAAGTGATGGAGAAGGGCCACAGTGTCGTCTCCACAATGCTCACAGTATAAGAGTCTGTGGACACAGATCTGAGTTTACTACATACACTAGCCCCTGGGGAGCTTTTTGAGTGGGCAAGTAATACACAGGCTAAACAGACTAGCAAAGCTCTGTGGGGAAATCATGTAACAAAACTTGATTGGCCTTCTTCTCATGGCAGCGCCTTTCTGCTGACAGTGATATAACAGAGCCATAATGTAAATGAGAATGAATCTCCCAGCTCTGCAGTTCCAGACCGTGTTGGGAGCAAAAACCGTTACAGGTAGCAATGTGATGACATATGTGAAATGAACTGGTGTTCTCAATCCTAGCTAGACAGGTATGCAGATCACAAAATGTTGCCATTACTGACACCAACCTCCGCACAGGTTTTTTCCAGCCTCAGTGGAGAGGCCAAGGATTCAGTAGGCCTGAGTGCTAAATGAGTCTAGGACGTTGAGGTTAACCAGCCGCATAGACATAAACAGTAGTATATATTGCATAATCTAGATGTAGTTGCTGTAGTGACATATCTTGGGATATTATGAATGAATTAAATGGAAAGCATGCTTTGTAAAGCCACAAGGCCAGATCTCACTGACACCAGTGTAAAACAAAGTACTTCCTTCACCTCAGTGGACTTCAGCCAGTGCCAATTCACTGTAAGTGGGAGGAGAATCAGACCTGCAATGCTTGATCTTCCGAACAGTCAGTACTGCTTTCTCCAAATGCCTGCTTTTCATTGGCAGGAATGAACTCGGATGGGTCTACACAGAGCCAGATTTACTGCCAATATCTTTCTATCTGGTGTGGATACTGAACAACGCCATTAATGTTGGATGGCTATTCCTGTGGGACCGAGAGTAAGTGAACTGTGAAGAGGGGATTTTTGCAATCCTCTCCTTGGGCCTGATTCACTGCTGCATTACACCATTTTCACCCCTGTTTAACCCCTGCGAAGTAAACTGAGTCACATCGGTGTAAAACTGCCTAGGCCAGGGAATCAGGCTTTGTGTCTTAATACACTTGAACTAGGCAAAAGGTAGCCTTTATATCATGTTTGTTTTGTGTAATCTTTGCTTTTGGCCCATGAGTTGGATCTGTGATATCTAAATCTAAAATCTCTTCCAACTTGCCATTCCTGCATATTTTCAATATAAGGAAGCTCGGATCGGTCATCTTGTACCACTCTTCATTCAGCCAGTTAATCGTGTGGCTTTTGGTTATTTTTACGATCATAGTCATTTCACGGGCACAGCACGGCAGTCACGTAGTCATTGGCTGTCAGAAGAATTCAGTTGCTAAATACGAGCATGAATTGTATAACAAAGTAAAACAGCTATAGGTTAAGTAAAGGCTACATGTAATGATTAGCTCTATTAAGGGTTATTGTGAGTCCAAGAGTAAGGCTATGAGGTGAGGCATCAATTGAACTAATATGTAATACAATTTAGCTAAAATACTGTATCACGTGTGTTTTCCCCCTAGGTATCTCATTCCAGCCCTGGTTCTCCTGGCAGTCCTCCCTTTTACCTGTTATGTTGGTCTCTTCATTTCACACCGATCCTTGCATATCCATGCCGTTTGGTTCCTAAAGTCTCACAAAGCAGAGCTGTGGCTCATCCGAATTCTGGTATGCTATATGTGAGCACTGCTATTTATAGAAAAGCTACACCGCCATGTTCATGCAGGGTTGAAGGTGGCAAAGTTCAGACGCACAATGCCATTATGATTCCTACCCCAGTGCTAACTCCCTCCCCTTGCACATACCTTCAGGTTTCCCTTGTGTCTTGGTTCCCCATCTGTTGACAGCATGGGAGTCAATAGGAGGAAGATAAGCCCCTCATCTGTTTCACGATGCTTCACATATAGACTGACAGTCCAGATTGCCCCAAAATAGTCCTTAATCCATTAGACCATTATTAAGAATGTATAGATGGAGTGGAAAAACCCTACATATTTTTCAGGGTTTCTTTCTTCTGCCTTTTCCTTTTGTTCCATGCTCTGGATCAAAGTGATTGCTCCCCCAACCTAGAACATTGGCTATTTGTGCTCAGTACATTACACAGAGGCAATGAAGTTGAATACCTTCAGCCACATGTGATCTTTCCTCCCTCCCTCCGTCCCTCCACCTCCCCACAGCAGAAAAGAGCTCCATACCTGCTACCTCCCCTCATTACCCACCCTCCCAACCAAGAAACCCTACACCCCCTACCTGTCTGGTCTACCGTAACCCCTCCCCTGACTGAAATGTGGTCTCTGACCTCCCCTCGGATTGCTTGATTCCTAACTAGGAACATGCATTGGAAAAGTGGGTTGGATGAGAATCCAAGTCTGAGACCAGGGAGGATTTCTCAGCAGTAGGCAGTCTGTGAAGATGAGACTCTTGCCAGATCACAGTCCTGACCTACCCCAAATATGCGTTCCTGCCCCAGCCTGTCTCCCCACAACTTGTTATAGTCAGATTCCAGGGGTCATGATCCATATACAGGTACAGACAGTGAGTAAACTCTGAATTCAGCATTTGGAACTATAGGCATCACGCCAACAAGATGAATCCATTTGGCTCAGTGTTTAAGAACGGTTCGGTAGGAATTATGTATTGCTGTTTACGGCCCAAATTTCACTCCATGGAACAAGCCTGAATTTACAAACCCAGGCACAATGAAGGGTGAGGGTGGAGAATTGCACCTTTCAGTAAGGGATGGACTCCATCAACCCAGGCTGTGGCGAGGTAGTGCAGCCTCTATACAACCAATCCTGCAGCTGGTGTACTACCCTGTCAGGGCCCAGTATAGAATCCAGGCCCACAAGCTCCTTAGGCAGCATCCTTAGCTGCAGCCCCTGACCAATAGCCTTAGGGCTGAAGGCCTAGAGACCCACAGCAGCCATGCCCACACCCTGGCCTAAGTAGCTGAACAGGCAGCAGTCTCCGTGGATACTTGGACTACATAAAGGCCTCAACAGGAAGAGGAAGCTGTCTGAGCAACACACCACTGCCTGCTGCCGAGACCACCTTGCCTGTCCCCACCTTGCCCCCACCAACCCACTGACCTGGCCCCTTGCATTGGATCTTCTGGCTGATCCCTGTAGAACTCTGACTATTGGCCTGGACGGTCTCTGATATGGATTGACCTGCTGGCTACCCAACTACCGTGCACGCTTGCCTACTGCTTTGGACTACCCCTTTGCCTGCCTTGGCCACTGGGCGTTACATCCCCTCCCTGGAGGGGTATGGCTGAGGATCTGCATAGGTGTGGAGCCACCAACCTTACTTTTTCCCATAAACCCCTCTCTGCAATAGTGCTGATGGAGCCGCTGTGAAGCTAGGAGTATACCTATTGAGTGGGCTTCCTGCATCCTGCACCTACTGCAATGCACCATACCAGTGCCAATTTAACCACGCATTGGGGTATGGAGGGGTGGCAGGTTAGAGGTATACAGAATGTTTATTTCTCATCATCACTCAGTGTATCATTATTCTACATGACAGGTGCAAAACGGGATTGCACTATACGCGACATGGACCACAATTGCCACTCTGCTGAATTTTGCCGTGGTGCTGATCTTCAATGGGAACATATCTAATAAGATTGCAACTGCAACCTCTCTGGCCATCCTTACCTTTGAACTAGTAATATGGTAGGTGACACCGATAAGCTCCCATTTGTCCCTAAAAAAAATCTCTGGCCATCTGGATCCTGCTCATTTCTTGACTCTTAGTGAGTAGCATCAGGATCACTCTCAGACACTATGATTAGGTTTTCGCTGGGCCATGTGTAGGAGAAGGGGCCTTATCAGCTTCTTCAGTGACTGAACACAAGTGGAGAATGGTAATTCTGCTCAAGGTACTGGAGTGGGGCGAGTTGAAAATGTATCGTCAAAATTGTTTTTCAACAGAAAATTGAGTTTTTCAACTAAACAAAATTTTCTGCAAAAAGTGTCAAAAAACCCTAAAGCCAATAAATGGAAATATATCAGGGTTTGGGCTAGATATTGTGATTTGGAAATGCTGCCACAGTGCTTCATGGGAGATGTAGTCTGACCAGGGAGCCCAGGCTATAGAGGAGAATGGGAGCTTGAGTCATCCAAACTACAACTCCCAGGAGGCACCACGGCAGCATTTCAGAAACAAAACATTGTGGTTTTCAGCCAAAATTTTTCAGTATTGGAATTTCCACCGTAAAATAGAAACTTTCCATGAAAAAAAAATCAGACAAAAATGAATGTTGTTATTTGTTTTTATCAGTTTCCATGGAACCCCCACCTTTTTTCATGCGCTCCATACTGGAGCTCTTCTTAGGCTCTGAGAAGCGACGGAGATAGTCTAATCCAGCCCTGGCAAACTCCATGCTTGTTCCCAACTGCTCCCTAAAGAAGTTATCTAGAAGGGGGGGAAAATCCACTGACAGGATGTTCATTTTTTTGCCACTTTTATTTCCTCCCAGGTTTTCTCTGGAAAACTTTGTGCTTGACAAGTATGTGCGGTATAATCTCACTGTCTACCCAGTGGTCATTGTAGCACTGACCGGCATTGTGTGGAAGAACTACTCCCTTTCATCTCCAACTGACAACAGTGTGTTTACAGGTGGGTCCTTGTAAAGTTTAAGCTCATTTTATCTAGAAGAGGCCACCAATCTCTCCTGAATGTTTCCAGCATGTCATTCCCCCAGCATCTTTGTGTGCAGGGAGAAGGTCCCTCTTGCTAAAGGGGACCTTTAAAAACCAACTAGGGTTTTATGAGAAGTCTTTAATTTTGCAGAGTGAGAGTAAAGCTAGGCAAGACCCTTTAACTGCTGTGATTGCCCTGGGGTCTGCTGTGCTTAGGGTGGAAAGTAAACCCTCAACATCACTCCAGTTCATTTGTTAGTGGGGCAGATTCCACCTCCTCCCACCCTCCATCTCTTCACCACCTTCTGCGGGAAGCTGAACTGGTGCATTCCCACAATGCAAGTAGGATAGGACTTGGAGAGCCGCCCCAGGACGTCTGCGCCCCCTCTGCTCCATAGGCGCTCCCTCTACTCTGCTGTTGAGGAGGGTTTGGGGGTGGGGAGAGCCACGGGGCAGTGGGGGCAGGGCAGGTCTGGCAGAGCCTCAGCTACACAACTCACCGAGGTGGAGATGGCTCATCAACCATAGAGGATGTGGTAGTAGCAACAGCCAGAAAGCAGCTCCGCTGCCACTCTGTGGCCTGGGGGAGGATTGCTTCTGATTTCCTCAAGCCCCAGCCTACACACACTCTCGTTTCACTCAGGCTGGGGCTATGCTTAAAAAGTTTTACTGGTGTAGTTATATCAGTTAAGGGTGTAGTGATATAAATGTGCTTCCACCAATAGAGCTTATGCTAGCTTGGGGAACCGGCATAATCTCTAGCTTGGGTTAAAGTTTTGCAAGCTATGTCAGATAGGAATGTGAAGAAATCGCCCCCTGGCCTACATAGCTGTGTTGGCAGAAGTCCCACTGTAGGCACAGCTATACTGGCAAAAACCGTGTTTTTAACTTATTCAGGAAACTGGTATAACGTATACTGGCAAAAGAACTCTTTTGCTGATATAAGCTGTGTTTCTATTAGGAAAGTTTGCCAGTATACCTGTACAGGCAAACCCTCTCTAGTGGAGACAAGGCCTCTGCTGGTATAAGCCATTTTATACTGATATTACTGCGTCTAAACTAAGAGGGTTTTGCTGGTATAGATATACTAGAAGCAAAACTTCTAGGTGGTGACAAGACCTTATTCTGGCTGAGGGGCAGGCTCTAGGGTTTGCTCACAGTAAATGTGAAGATATGGTGTAAATACTTCAAGGGAGATATTGGGCTCTGTGCGGAGTTCTCCTCCTTTGCTGTTGTTGTAGCCCAGTTACCCCCACTCTTGTAAAAAGAGACGTCATTTATTTGCTCTCACACACATAATCAAGGGCGTTCTGTTTCTTTTATAGTTGTGTTGCTGGCGGTGGCTTGTGTTACCTTTGCTGTTCGGCTGGGAATAGTCATATGGAGACATTGTAAAAGGCCTCTCCACCGATCAGATTCTCCAGCCATGACACTGTGAAGTATATTTCCAAAGTGAAGACCTTAAGGGGGAGATTTTCAAAGCCATGAATGGGAATCTGGCACCCAACACCCACTCCCCTGGTGCCTTGACAATCTCTGAAATGTGGAACCGTGAACAACACAAAGAGGGTAGTAAGGCGGTTACAGTGATTTCGTATAAGCGTTCAGGGTCTCTCTCTTTTTCAGGATCTCTCTCTCCTTCCACTCTGATCGATTACACTTACCCTACCACCTTTAATTTGACCACTATGTGTTTTATTAAATGGTGTTTTCAGTTTACACCAGAGGAGTAGATGAACAGATCCCTCTGACAAAGCCTAATGCACTTCTGGATAAATGGACAGTAGCACTCAGGTATGCCCAGCCTGAGGCAGGCCCGTGAACACAGTTGCCACACTTGCACTTTTGCACAGAGACGTTACCTTTTTCGGTTTAAAAAATGATTGTAAATAAGCAACCCCTCTATGGTGACTGAAATGCATAAACCAATGGCTCTCTTTCTTCACTGGCCCAGACGTTTGGCCTGGTTTTTGTCAGTGCTGAGCCGCTGCAAGTCCCATTGAAGTCAGTGGGTGCTCAGCACCTCTAAAAATCAGGCCACTGCGCCCCTTTCAAGCTCTCCCCAACATGGCAAGAACAAAACTGCAGTAGTGCTATATTTTTATTTTTGCAGCATCTGTTTTAACATTCTGCATCAAGTGTGTTGGAGTGGTTACAATTACTGGTTAATTATTGTTACTCACACCTTCTTGTCAACTGTTGGAAATGGGCCATCCTGATTATCACTACAAACGTTTTTTTTCTCCTGCTGATAATAGCCCACCTTAATTAATTAGTCTCGTTATAGTTGGTATGGCAACACCCATTTTTTCATGTTCTCTGTGTATATATATCTTCCTACTGTATTTTCCACTGCATGCATCCGATGAAGTGGGTTTTAGCCCACGAAAGCTTATGCCCAAATAAATTTGTTAGTCTCTAAGGTGCCACACGTACTCCTCGTTCTTTTTGGTTAACTCAAATGACTTTTAAGGATTTCTTATGCTTAAAGCACATGAATGTATGGCAGGAGATCTGGATTCTGGTCCCAGCTCTGCCATGGCTTTCCAGCATGAGCTTGGCCAAATTCATCAACAGTGCTGTGCCTCAGTTTCCCCACCTATTATAATCCCTCAAACGCTTATGTCATTCATGGTTATAAACTAGGTTGAGATCCTCGGATGGATGATGTAAAATGCAGTGTATCCTGTAGTGCTGATAGAAAGATGAGACTTACTAGAATATGTGATGTTGTTTACTAGAACAATGGATAAAATTTTTGTGATGCACTTTTTGTTTCCACTCCTTCACATTTTTTAAATCAATAAAGCAACTAATTACAGGACATCTATATTTTCAGCTAATAAACCATTTATACAAACACCTGTTATTAAATGTTTATTCCCTGACCCTATAAATACTAAGGCGCTGAGCCTCCAAAGAGCACTGCATGGATAGATCCCTGTATCTTTGTAGAGTCCCCTGTGCTTGCAGGATGCCACCTTGTTACTGGATTAGGGCCCCAGACATGTGAGAAATATGATACTGCTAAGGAGTCCCATTGACCTCCTGTGTTGTTGTTTATGACTTGTATTCATAGAATCATAGACTATCAGGATTGGAAGGGACCTCAGGAGGTCATCTAGTCCAACCCCCTGCTCAGAGCAGGACCAAATCCCCAGACAGATTTTTACCCCAGTTCCCTAAATGGCCCCCCTCAAGGATTGAACTCACAACCCTGGGTTTAGCAGGCCAATGCTCAAACCACTGAGCTATTGCAGTAGCATCTAACACTGTCAGTCATGGACCAGGACCCCATCCTGCTAGGTGCTGTACAATCACAGAACACAAAGGTGATCCCTGCCCACAGAGCTCACAGTCTAAGTAGTGTTTCCAGGACCTTGGTTTTTCTTTTGTACAAGAAAACTATCTATTATACATCAAAGGCCAAACTGGTATCTAAGAAGAGAATGGAGGATTGTGGGTAAAAGGGTACAAATAGCACAACATGCAGTGGGTCAAAGAGCACAGCAATGGACTATGTGTTAACCTCAAAACACAAATACTGTCCTGGGCTATGAGCTGGACTGACTGCAGTTTAACTGAGCTGGAGGCTGGCAGAGGCTGCAAGTCATTCTCTTTTATGATAACAGCGGGAGTGAATTTAGCTGGATGGCATTAGACTGGCAGCACTAGCAGCTAAGTACTCTGGTAATGCCCAGACCAAGTACAACACAGACAGCAGCCCGGTAACTTCCCTACTCTGCTCAGCTAAGGTGTCACTCAACCCTGACCTGGAGGGACTGCCTCTCGGGCGAAAGGGGAGACCCCATGTCCCGTGGCCTTGATATGGAGATTGCCAAAAAGGGGGCCAGACTACATTTCTCTGAAGTCATTTGATAGGACCCCTGCAGGGCAGAGGTCAATGTGCCCCTGCAGGGCTAGAAATGGGGGCTTTACATCAGTGGGAAGGGGAGAGTCCCAGCTACCCTTCGGGACTCGATATTTGCTTCCAGCCAGAAAGGAACCAAGATAATGGACTTTAAAGTCACGACAGTTTTAGGAAGAGAAAAGCTGTGTTGGGTGAATTTTAGAGCTTGACTCTGAGATTCCCTCGGAGCCTTGGATTCATGATGACTACATGAGGGAGTTAATTCTAAAATAGTCCAGATTTTCTCTTCTGTGCCATCGAGTGAGTGCCCTGGTAGTGCGGGGTGGTATAATTGCACTAGTTCGCCAGTTGCCATAGAATCTGTAATGTTTTGGCACCAAGAGCTGTTTTGTTTGCTTGTGTGAGTTTAACCTATAGGCAGCAGCAACACCTTCAGATATGCTTAGGCAAAAGATATAAGGAGAGAAACTTTTACTGGTGAAGATCTGACTTCTATGCAGCCAGATAAATAGAATATGTAACACTGGGCTAGATCGTCATCAATCCTTATTCCCTTGTACAGACTATGCATATCGTGGATTGCAGCGTAGGAAGGGAAGCAGGTTCCATAAACTCCCAGTCTGCTTCCTGGACTGCTCAGGGCAGACCTAAATGTGACACTCTAACCTGCGTCTTTAAAAGCACAGCCTGGTGACTCCCAATGACATTACATTCTTCCATATGAGTTAGCTGAGATTTAAATTCCTACTGTAAAAGCCAACAGATTTTTTTGTATATAAACATTTTCCTGCTCTCTCTCTTTTCATCATAAAGTAGCCAAAGAATGCCCAAGCCCAGTGCTGTCTCCCCGTTGCAGGTCACCGTTAATGAAAGCGTGTTGGTATAGGTGGAGCTACAGCAGAAGTGGAGTGAAACTGTCAGACAGTTCAGCCTTCCACATATGCGGATAACAGATGGGACAGCTCATTAGCCAGCATTTCTGGCTCAGCCATGCACCAAATGTTGGTTCTTTCCTTTCCTTTGGCTAGGTATAGCCCAGGTTCCAAAGATGCAATTCCATCTACAGGGGCTGACTGAAGGGACTGATTTACTCCTGCTCTGTGACCCGCTAGATGAGCTGCCAGGAGGCATTCCGAATACTTTCCTGCCCATAGCAGCACTGAATGCTTTGCAGGCCTGTCTGTGAGCAGCCCCCTTGCAGCCCACTTAATATAATTGGCTTTATTTAGTACCACTCCGGTTGTTCCCAGAGGGGAAAATTATGTGCAGCTCCAGTCAAAGCACTATTTCCTTAGAGCTGGGAGATGATTTAAATAGGACTGCAGCTGTGAGAGGGGCCCTGGCACATACTGATCTTGCAAGATGGGACAGTCCAGCAACCTTCTCTAGCAAAACTTGATCTACCATGGGTGTCTGCCAACTGTAGGGGCTCAAGCAGCAATCCTGCAGTGGGGCAGAGGGTGTAGGCAGTGCACCCTGAATACAAAGCTCGGCTATGGACAGTGTGTTTTCTTATGTTTATGGCAGTAGCAGAGCTAAGTACAAACATGTTGGAGTTCCCTTCAGAGCCCTCGGGGGCCTTACTGTTGTCACTTACAGCAGTGCAAAATGGGTATAAAATGTTACCATTTGGATCTGGAGGCATTTTACACCTCTGTGGCGCTGAAGTAAATGACTACATAGTGGACCACAAGCTAAATATGAGTCAACAGTGTGATGCTGATGCAAAAAAAGCAAACGTGATTCTGGGATGTATTAACAGGTGTGTTGTGAGCAAGACACGAGAAGCCATTCTTCTGCTCTACTCTGCTCTGGTTAGGCCTCAGCTGGAGTATTGTGGCCAGTTCTGGGCACCGCATTTCAAGAAAGATGTGGAGAAATTGGAGAGGGTCCAGAGAAGAGCAACAAGAATGATTAAAGGTCTTGAGAACATGACCTATGAAGGAAGGCTGAAAGAATTGGGTTTGTTTAGTTTGGAAAAGAGAAGACTGAGAGGGGACATGATAGCAGTTTTCAGGTATCTCAAAGGGTGTCATAAGGAGGAGGGAGAAAACTTGTTCACCTTAGTCTCTAAGGACAGAACAAGAAGCAATGGGCTTAAACTGCAGCAAGGGAGGTTTAAGTTGGACATTAGGAAAAAGTTCCTACCTGTCAGGGTGGTTAAACACTGGAATAAATTGCCTAAGGAGGTTGTGGAATCTCCATCTCTGGAGATATTTAAGAGTAGGTTAGATAAATGTCTATCAGGGATGGTCTAGACAGTATTTGGTCCTGCCATGAGGGCAGGGGACTGGACTCGATGACCTCTCGAGGTCCCTTCCAGTCCTAGAATCTATGAATCTATGAATAGGTGGAGGGAAACAGTGAATCAGCCCATAGGCTGTGGCTTTACCAGCTGCTATTGGGATGCTACAGTGCCTAGAGCCCCTGTGGCTGGAGAGGGCCGAAAACGGGACTTAGGCTCTTGTCAGCAATGGACTTTTGAAAATTGTAGCTCAAGTGCCTGCAATGATCACCCCCTTGTCTGTGCTAATATGGCCCACAGCAGGATGCTCAGTGCTGGAGTGTCGGAACAACTGCAACAGCAACCCCTCTATGGCCACGCCCACAGCGAATCATGCAAGTGTTTGAGAACATAACACAAACACAGCTATCCCGGTCTCCCAGACGAATAATGCTGCCTGACTTCCCTCCAACGACAAGCCAGCCTCCCACCTGTAGGGATAGAAAGTGGCTAGTATTTGAAATGTGAGGTATTAAATGGATACTGCTACATGGAGGGGATAACCCACTCTATGCATAGAGTTTGTGTGTATGGGAATGACTGAACATCCTTTGAAGGATTAATCCAGCAGCTAAACGACAACCTTGGGCAATCACAAGGCTAGCCAAGAAGACTGCGTAACCACACTAAAAACTATGAAGGAGGAATAAGTAATCATTTGACTCACAGTCGCAGCATTGAAACCAGACTTACCAGGTCCCCATGGCACAGGAAAAGACCCCCACGTATTACCTCTTGTCCTAGTCTGGTCCCTTCCGCTGCCTTTTGTCTAATGCCACCCAAATGCCACCACTTCCTTTCCCTCACTAACTCCTCCTTGGAGGCCAGTATATGTACCACAGACCATGAGAACCCACACGCTGTCTGCTACAGCCGCTTCACTATCATGGGTAATACCCTTGGCGCACAGAAAGATATAGTGGTGTTCTAACTAAGTACGGGTCAGATTTTATCACAGGTCTATAGTTCAATAAAGCACAACAGTTGTCTAATAGAGTAGAGAGGAAGGATGGCCTAGTAGCGAGAGCACTAGTGTGTGACTTAGGAGACCCAGGCT